GCCCCCAGACACCCGGTTTCCCGAAGTCCCACAGGAGAATGGCCGCTGTCCACTCGGAGTTGCGGAGTGGGCAGGTCGCGCACCTGGGCAGCGCTGGCTGGTCTTCGACAGCTTCCCGAGGTCCCTTCAAAGAGCCATGGGGGGGGGGGGTTCTGGGACATCCCGGAGGGCGGGCCGCCCGCCTCGAATCTGCTTAACTCGGCCCAAGTTCCCTTTAAGGGGCCAAGAAAGCCAGCTCCGGCCAGCGCAGCGGACATTTTCCTGCTCGGCCCTGCGGCCACCCGCGTGCCTGGGCCTCCACAAAGGCCACTCTGGAGGGGCGGTGGGGTGGGGGACCCCGGCCCAGAGGCTCGCCAGGAGGACCCCAAGTCCGGGAGGACACGGAGGCCGGCAAGGGGGCGGCGCCCGGCCCACCCGCTCCCTCCAGGCCCGCGGACGCCGCCCGGCCCGGCCCCTTCGCCGCGCCCCGGGGCCAGGCATCGAGGGCGCCCGGCGCGCAGCCGAGAGACGCGGCTCCCGCGCGCTGCACGCATCGGATGGAAGAGGCACTCGCCGGGCACCCAGGCCCGGGAGGGAAGGCTGCAGGGCTGGACGCCCCGCCGGAGCCGGACTGGCCTCCACCCGCGGAAGCGCAGAGTCAGGAATAGGCGCACACAGCCGGTCCCCGCGGGCGGCACATGGGCTTGGGGGACTTTGGCCAACTTCGCGCCTCCGGGGATCGCGGCTCGGAAGGGCCAGCTGCGAAGGCCTGGGCGCGCCCCCTCCGAACCTGCCCCCGAGGCCAGCTGCCCGCGGCCAGTGCTCCAGGGCCTCCCGCGGCGGACACCTCCGCGCTCGGGTCCGACCGCCCCGCGGTGCAAATGTGGGGTTCCTCCCGCCGCGCCCCGATCCCTCACCTGGGACATCTGCGGCCGGAAGTTTATGTCCTTCATGTCGATGGAGCCGGGGGACAGGTTGTGCAGCAGTTGGCACAGGAGGACACCGTCGCGCAGCGCCTGCGCCAGGTCGAAGACCACCGCCGAGGGCCACACGACGCGGTGGTTGGGAGGCAGGACCTTGCAGTCGATGAGCCAGCGGCCGCATTGCCGCCACTGCTCCATGGCGCCCGCAGCGCCGGTGCGCTCCGCCGCTGCGGCCACTGGGCCAGCCGACTCAGGGCAGCGCTCGGGCCAAAGTGCGGCCACCTTGGGGCATCCCGCCCGCCCGCGCGGGGCTCGGCGGCCGGGGCGGGGCTTCGCTC